ACCAAGAGGAGACAGACTCCCACACACTCAGCACAATAAAAGAAAAGTGTGTGCTGGGCACAGGGGAAAAAAGTTTGCTCCGAGGAGTGGTCAGGCGTGTCTCAAACCAGCTCCTAGTGGAGACAATTAGCAGGAAGACCCTGAGGTGGACGCTGGAAAGGAGAGATGAGCTGCTCTGGACATGTGCCGCCTGCTATGATTCTAGCTCTGGATCCAAGTAATTCCAAGTAATTCTTCTTCTTCCCTCCTACTCCTTCTTCATTAACTGTTGTATTGTAGCAGACATAGTGTTGGCTGCATCTAAGCAGCTGTAATAATAGTAGTAGTAGTAGTAGCAGCAGCAGCAGCAGCAGCAGCAGTAGTAGCAGCAGCAGCAGCAGCAGTAGTAGTAGTAGTAGTAGTAGTAGTAGTAGTAGTAGTAGTAGTAGTAGTAGTAGTAGTAGTAGTATAGCAGAAGTAGTAATGGTTGTAGCAGCAGCGGTAGTAGTAGTAGCAGCAGCAGCGGAAATAGTTCTTTTACTGGCAGTTCGAAGCAACAGCAGCAGCATCAGCTACTGTAGCAATACAAAACCAATACTATAAACATCACAGAAAGCATTAATATGTACTTTATTGTCACTGTTTCATTGTTGACAATCTGGATACAATCCTTTTTGTTCTTGGAATTATCTTTCGCTGTGACCATGGGTGTGAACTGATAGACAGCAGTAAGAAGGGGCCAATGAGTAGCCGTAGAAAGGCTGCAGAAACATTTAGGGACCCAGAGGAGGGGGGCAAAGGGGGTCGGGGTAGTGGCAGAAAATGGAGACGAAGGCAGACGACAGAACACGGTTAGATTATATATGTGGAAAGGGGGTGAAAGGAGACAAATTTAGAGATGAGAATTTTCCGTCGCTGTCAGATTTCGAAACGGGACTTATAGAATGAGAGGCGAAAATCGAACCTCCAGACCACGAGAGCACCCAATGGTGGTAGTTGTGCTACCGAGAGACAAAGAAAGAGAGAGATAAACACACACACACACACACACACACATACACACACACAGCGAAAGAGAGACACACACACACACACACACACACACACACAGAGAGAGAGAGAGAGAGAGAGAGAGAGAGAGGGGGAGAGAGAGAGAGAGAGAGAGAGAGAGAGAGAGAGAGAGAGAGAGAGAGAGAATAGGCAGGAGAGACGGAGAGTTCACGCGTAATAATAAGGAATACATGTATGTTACATATGTACTTGGATAAAGGCTCCAAGTTCTATGCTCCTCTCGTGTCATACCAGCAAAAGACAAACGCAGGTCGTCAAAAGCAGTTGATTCGAACTGGCTGTTGCAAGGCAGGCCATCATTGAGCTTGCAGAAGCACTTCAGGCCCTTCAACTTCACAAAGCTGTCTGCTCCACACCCTTACCTTCTGGCACCACAAAGGCTTTCACTGTCACGTTATCTTATGAAGGTCACCCCTAAGGCATCATCCTCGTCTGTAGATAGATACAGAAATTAAAAGAGAGCGATTTAAAGGTGTGCAGCTTGCATAATGAAATTTATAGTGTTGTACACCACTGTATTTAAATGACCACTATTAGTTCAAACAAACCAGTGATTAATGATCACCAATTGAGAATAATTTGCTACGTGATCCCTTTACAGTTGACAGGTTGCAACAAGAAGCCAGAATTTTTGTCCATCATTCTGTCACCTCTTGTTTTCGTTTTGCATCGCTGTATTTTTATATGGACCTACTCAGTTTAAGAAATTCACTTTCATGTGACGACAAGTTTGTGACAGATCATCACTGCGATAGTGCAGCATCTCTCTTTTCTTGGTTCTTTTCATATGATGTTATGAACAAACACTTTATGATATTTCTGCAAAATATCATGTGAGGGACTTCCCACTGTTTCACAACATCCTTTTACATGGTGGAATGAACGGAAGAGTAGCGTGCTGATGACTCAAAAGAGAAGTGAAGAAGAGGCAAAAGTATGCTTGTCATAATGGATTGTCATCATGTTATGAACGTGACATTGTGTCACAATGGTTATGCACGATCGGTTTCCGATGACAACCCACCATCAGCACGATGATGGATATAGACTTACCATCGTTTTCCGATGACAGCCCACCATCGGCGCGCTGATGTATACCGACTTACCATCGGATTTCCGATGACAACCCACCATCGGCACGATGATGGATATCGACACACCATCGGTTTCCGATGACAACCCACCATCGGTGCGATGATGGATTTCGACTTACCATCGGTTTCCGATGACAACCCACCATCGGTGCGATGATGGATACCGACTTACCATCGGTTTCCGATGACAACCCACCATCGGCGCGATGATGGATTCCGACTTACCATCGGTTTCCGATGACAACCCACCATCGGCGCGATGATGGATACCGACTTACCATCGGTTTCCGATGACAACCCACCATCGGTGCGATGATGGATACCGACTTACCATCGGTTTCCGATGACAACCCACC